TCTGCGAATAATTTCTAGTGAATCCTGCAGAGTGTTCCAAGATAATTTCGAAAGGAATACCGAGATCATCAAATTTTGAATGAAATTCAAAAGGAATGTTGAAAAAATATTCAAGGGAATTCCAAGGATAATTTCAAGTTCATTCTCTGAAGAATTTCTGAAGAATGCAGAGGAAATTTTTCTGAAACTTTAGGGGAATTTCAGTTCCAAGGTGTTCTGAGAAGAAAAATAGTTCTAAGATATTCCGAGAAGAACCTCAAGGATATTGAATTCTTATGACATTTCCAAAATATTTCTGCGGATAATTTCTAGTGCATCTTGCAGATAGTTCGATGATAATTTTGAAAAGAATACCGAGAAAATCAAATTTGGAGTGAAATTCCAAAAGGATTTTTAGCAAAACTTCAAGCGAATTCCGAGGATAATTTCTACCTCATTCAGTAGTAAAGTAGTCTGAGCTTTCCTGAAGTGATTTACCTAACTTTTAACGTAGATTCCGCTCCCTTAGATCCCTTCCTCGTTCTTGTGAGATTCACATCCTTTGAAAATTAGGCTGAGATTTAAAGAATGAACTTTCATGTGTTCATACCTGATGATTTTTTAAAGCAAGCACAATTTTTGAGAAAACTGCGTTTACATCCACCAAAGTACGTATTTTTATAGAAATTTGGGTTTCTTGATCAGCCAAGTTGAATTTTGGCTCCGTCCTTCGAAAAACAGGCTTGGATGTTATAGAATAGACCTCAAGTAACATTTTAGGTTTTATGATGTAATACAAAGCTACTATAAAACAACATTCATAAAACCCTGGTCAAGGCTACTTTGCCATTGATGCATCCACCAAAACCTTATTAAGACTAGAATCTGTCTAGTTGGCCCATCCTGGAGAAGGTTCTGAAGGGTAAATTTTCGAAGCTCTCCAAGATTGAATTACTGCAAAAAGGTTGTATGACGAACGTATTGAGAACCATTTGAAACCCGTATTTAAGCTACAATAAAAGCTATATGGCAACAATAAAAACCTTTTTCAAGCCATTTTCCCTAGCCGCGTGCTGAATCCACTAGAAAAATCATTTATCAAGATAGAAAAGGATTCAAAAATACCATCCGATGTTAACAATATAATTGAAATATAAACTGATCATATAAAATGCCTATTCAATTTCCAAAATTATTAAAATTGTTCTCATAAAGTGGCCAAGTTGTAGGTGCCATATTAAATTTTATGTGAAATGTACTTGAAAACATCGAAAAAATAAGTCCGCCCTCGGAAAACGATGATCTCACTTATTATTTTTAATCGAGAAGAAAAATTAATAATTCTTCAGATTGATCATTAAGCTCAGCCGAGATATGTTTTATGATTATCGTATTTCAAATATCTGCTCATTCCTAAATTGACCAAAATAAAGTTATATCCATGGAAATACACATTGAACACGAAGTTTGTAAAAATCAAACTAAGTAATTGTAATATGGCGGTGGCTTAAAAGTTGGTTCACATGGGCCATTTGTGAATAAGTTGTTTTGCTTTAATGAAATCCCTTACAAATTCATAAGGTTTTAAAATAGCTTTTATGAAGAAAACTTCCTGTCAAAGTTTATCTTTCGATAGTTGCGTTGTTCGATCATTGCAACGAGGTTTTACTCCAGCGTTCTTCCAGGGGATTTTCTCCCGGTGAATTGGAAGCAGTTACTAAGGAAGTGTGCGGAACTGTTTTGCAACATTTCGCATATATCGCAACAACTGGAAGCTCAATCGTTCCCGTAAAATATCCCCTTCTTCCGGATGATTCCCGAAGTCCACCATCAAACGATGCAGTTGAAATTAAGTATATTTGAATGAAATTTCGAACCTTTCGCTGAATAAAATTACTGCTATGAATCGGAAACCAGCCAATCTCCACTTACTGACAGTTTCAACGGTTTGTTGTAGGTACAAATGCAAATTATTTCGTTCGTCCAATCTGGAGAAGGCTGGTCTGTTTTTAGACTGTTTCATAAAGGAGACGGTCAGCACCGGTCAGAACGTGATGCAAACGCCAGATGCTCAGTCGTTGTTGAAATTGACTTCCCTTCGGTCGTTAACATCGCTTGAATTTTTCATCCTACTTCGCCTACTCTTCGAGATTTCCTTGTCATAAATATTGCTTTTGTTCACTATGAGGATCCAATTTTTGAGTTCAATTTGGAAACATAGTAATTGGGGATTTGATTGTACACTTTAACAAGTCTAAACAACAACAATATATGCTTTTTGCTCTCATTTAAAACCGAATTGTTTTATGGTTGCTTTATAATGACAGAACAACTTTATAGAGTATTTTATCAAGGCATTAATAAACAATAGCTAATGAAGTTTATGATTGATTTACAGAACAGTTTTATGGAGGTATTGATAAATTTATTTTTAAAACAACCTTCTCGGCAGACTAAAGGGTGATACGGTCAAAATTTGGTCAATATCAACTTGACTTATTTCTTTAAATTTTGCAATTTTACAGTAATAGGCTGAATTACTAAGCAGGAATGTTTTACACTTTGAAATGCTGTATTTAAACTAAATGGATTGTTTATTTTCGTTATAAAACCGTCATAAATCAGAGTGGATGACAAGTAGCTGCTGAATTGTTACTTGGGACCTTTGTGAGTTCATTCGTGATGGTAGATTTGTTTGAAGCCAGGTTGGATTTCGGTTCAATCGTTTGAAATTTGGATGCTTGGATTTTATTGAATGGAAGTTGCTGAATACCGGAAGGACGAACCTGATTAATATTCAAAAAAGAAAGTATTTTCATAGAAAATAAGTTTTCCTGTTTTTTCGAACTGAATTTTGGCTTCTTTCTTTGAAAAATATGCTTGTATTTTAATAGAAGTTGCTGCATCCATACGTGAGGGTTGAATTTCTTCAATTTTTGAGAATATCGATTTTAAATTCACAAAAGTACGTATTTTCATATCCAAGTTGAATTTTGGCTCCGATCTTTGAAAATAGCCTTGAATTTTATAGAATGGACTTTGCTGAATCCATACGTGATGGTAAATTTTTTGAAGCATGCACAAGTTTTTAGAAAACATGGTTTGAATTCTCAAAAGTACTTATTTTTATAGAAATTTGGGTTTATTGTTCAGCCAAGTTGAATTTCAGCTCCTTCCTTTACAAAATAGGAGTGGATTTAACCGAATTGCTGAATCCATACGTATATTCATAGAAATTTGGTTTTTCGGTTCTGCCAAATTGCATTTGAAAAATAGGCTTGTATTTTTTAGAATGAACCTTGCTGAATCCATACCAAAGGTTGAACCGGGTTTGTAATTCGAAGAGGTTTTTTTTTTGGTTTTCCTTTTCTGCTAAGTTGGATTTTGATACTGTCCTTTGAAAGTTATGCTTAGATTTTATTGAATTGACCTTGCTGAATTCATATGTGATGATTATTTTTAAAGCACACACAAAGCCAGGTTTAAATTGACAAAATTACGTATTATGTCCAGCCAAGATGGATTTTGGCTCCTTCCTTTGAATATTACGCTTGGATTTTGTTGAATATTTAGACCTTCCTGAATCCATTCGTATAGTTAGATTTTTTGAAGCACGCACAATTGTTGAGAAAACTGAGTTATATTTGTAAGTATCGAAAACAGAACGTTTTTTTTTCATAAGAACTGATACGTTTGTGGTATTCTGCTTGATGGTTTATCCAGAATTTATCAATACCCAAAAATCAACTACTTTGATCCTGTTAATCTACATTATTGCCAATGTTCTTCCTTGAAAGGATACAAAAACTAATGCCCGAAATGTCTTGTTGATAACTCGAGTGTTACACATAATAAAGTCAACATTTGTGGCATTAGTGTCAAAAATCACGGCTTCAAAGAAATATAAGGCTAAAGCGGAGGCTAAGAAAAAATGTTAGTGTTTAAAATATACGGTTTAGATATAATGTAGAACCAATTTTAAATGTTTAATTTTTTTTTAGTTTTTATTCCCCCCCACTCCCTCCCGACTGGTGCGAGCATCGTGTTCCGGCCTAATAGGTGAAAATATATCAATTTTTTTGCTCGGATATATGATACGTACATTGTAACTATTATATAAAATTTTAAATAACCCAATTTTTGACAGCTTCATATACTATCCAAAATTGGGTTATTTTTTACCCATGGGTACTCGCCAGTTACAGTGCTGGTGGGGGGTATGTAATATAATTATTGAAAATAGTGACCAAATCTAAAATAGAGTAAGAATTAGGGCGTAACAGCTTCTGTTAACAATGACTTCTCTCGAGGATTTCTTGAAAGTCAAGGCTCACCCAAGCAATATTTTTTCTCATGTGATTTCTGCTTATGATTCTGAACGCTAGAGATAGACTTCGGCAATCGTAGTTGAGTTCTATTCGAAAAACTGTCCATTGACAACACTGCTATTTTTGAAGATGGACAAAAATTGAACTAGGGATTATGTTCGTAATGTTGCCCCCAATATTTGTTCCATATTTGAAATAACAATTAGGTAGACCATTGTTAGTCATCATCTCATTAGCAGCCTAAAATATCTTCTTGTACCGTCCAAATAACGCTTTCATCTAGGTAAAATTGTAAAATAGGAGATTTTTTTTATCGATGGACATAATTTTTGGATCCATAAGCCATTATTAGAGCCAAAATTATAACTTCGGGTTAAATTTAACTCAGAAAATGAAACGCAACCTTCTTGAATGATCAAACTTTATATTAAAAAAAAACATGTTTATTCTTAAATCGATACGAAATCAAGTAGCTTAAGTTGCTTGCTTGTCAATACCGTTTTTCGAAATTCACATTCTTATCTAACAAATATTTTTATTTTTTAAATATAATGATTAAAAGCACCTACAAACTATGGAAGTTTGCAGCCAAACGTCGTATTTCCCGATATTTTTTCCTAATCTATTACGATTTAACTATCTGGCAACATTGCCAGAAAGCTCTCTCATCGCAGCCCAGACACAGTCACTCACCTCTTGCTTGTATCAATCGACTCCAGGATGTTGGCCGACATGAGTCGCGCGATTTTGCTGAGTTCGACATTCTCCGCACGCAACTTGATGTTTGTCTCCTCGGATTGTTGCTTCTGCAATGAGCGAGAGAGATTGTTAATTATTTGAAACATGTCGCACGACAGGTTACGCTTCCGTTCGTTCCCTTCATGCCGCCCACTCCCTTCAATTCTTCCCATGTTGATGGTTATGAATGAACCTTCACTTACACTTTCTTGCAACTCGGAAATCTTCTCGTTCGCTTCGTACAGCTGCAGCTCGACGTTGTTCAGATAGGACTTGAGTTTTTCCATCTCGTTCAGCAGGCTGTCGATTTCGCCCTCCTTGGTCGCTGATGGTTTGGATTCTGCCGCGTGGTTGGGTTGATCGTCCGATTTTGAGGATTTTTCCGATTCTTCATCGTCGCTGCTGATTCCACCACCGGAGGGGACAATTTCCGATAGCTTTCTCCTTAGTTTTCGATTCTTATCGATGAATTCGGTCCGCTCCTTCCGCAGGGTGGCAATGTCCCCTTGAAGGGCCGTCACGCTCTTCTTCAGCAGTTGGGTGGTACCTTCGAGATTTTGATTACGTTTCGTCACTGCAATTAACGGGGATTGGACGTGAGAAACATATAAAACATATATAGCAGTAAGATCAAATCGATTTCATAACAAATCAGAGATGTTTTTTTTTGGCTGCCTTAATTGGATCGTAAATGCAATAAAATTCGGTAAATTTGTCGTTTCAAGGGTTAATAAAACGGGGTTTCCGGTTTTATGCAATCGCAAACCAGCGGCGTAGGGTTGCGGTGAGATAAAATGGGACGATACTCACTTTCTTCGCACTTGTTGATCAGTCGGTTGTGGTTCTCGCGCAGCTGGAGATAGTCGTTGAAATTGAACTCGGCCGCTGCTGAGCTCATGCCGCCCCGGGGCACGTAGAGCGAACTGTGCATACTCATGGCCGTTGCGGATCGGGACGATGATGCCGAGTGGGATGGTGAAACAGCACTGCTGCCGGCGCCGCCACCGAATTCATTCGCATGGTCCTCGTGGGTCGACGATGCGGACGATGGCGACGAAGAATTCGAGGGCCCTACTATGCTGTTGGCTATGTAGAGGTGGAGGGAACTTTTGCGCTTCGGAATCGGTATGCTACTACGGCGCGACGGGGATGTCGTGTCCCCCGACGACGAAGATTGGGAAATGTCCATAGCTTAAGACGACCACGATGACGACGGTCAGGTTGAAGACATCTGCCCTTTCACTGATGGGACGCGGGTTGTTGGTTGTTTACCAGCACGCGAGTGCCAGAGACGAAATGCGGAAAAGGTTAAAAACTGAAGACGTCCAACCGGGGAGTGCTGCGGAGAAATTGTAAAGAGATAATAAGACGACCGTTAATGGCTTGTGGTTGGTAAATAAAAAGTTGCCAAACAAATTACAATTAATCTGGTTAGTCATCGCGCGGTTGTTTGTGTCTTTCTCGGTATGGTGGCGGGTATGGCGCTGTTTTAGTCAAACAGGTTAATCCAAACAATGATAAAACTACCGTTCATTTTGGTCGGTAAAATTCATTTGAAAACATCAGTTTTGTAGCAGTTTGGAAATTTGGAATGAGGCGACGGTGATGAAAAGTGGTTTGCTGATTTGCACTCAACGCGAGCGTTCAGGTATGAGAATTAAGCGAAAGGAATGTGCGGCGGAGACGGTTCCACATTTGGTCATTGTCGAGTGGGAGTCTTGTTGAGACATTTTCTATCACCGACAGTGAGGTGACCACTGCTGCTGCTTTGCTGCTCAAGCGGAGTTGTTGATGCTGAAGGAGAATTGTTGAATTGTAGTAAAATGGATTTTGTCTATTGGACACGGCATAGAAGTCGCTACTTGGTAAATTAAATCCTCAATTTGGATAATTCAGGGTTATGAAATGGCTTGATTGCAAGCGAAACCTCTTCACATTGGTTTATAGGATGTTTCACAAATTATAAGCACACTTCCTTTTTCTAAACGAAAATATTAAATTTTATGATACTTTGATTTGTATTCAAGAAATTATTACATTTCCATTCAATGTGTATTTACATTTAATAAAATAAGCTTAAGCTTAGATTAGTTTCCTTTCACAGGGATCTCTCCAGAATTTTTTCTCTGGAAATCCCTTGAAATTGTTTATATAATTGTACAGAAAATCTCTATAGAACACTCCAAAAATTCATAAAATTCATCCTTTCTTCGAATTTTAAACTCTTTCTAAGAATTCACTGGAGCTTCATTTTTTTTTTTAAATTTGCATGAAATTCTCCGTAGAATTCACCTCAGACCAACAATTGAAAAGGGCCCATTAGCTTTTGTGAGCAAAACTTGTAATCCCCCTTCCCTGCCTTCCCACCAAGAATTGTCTTCAAATTTTGCTCCGAATTATTTTGGAATGCTCCTGTTAATTCTTCTAAACATTGCATGGAATTCTTAATAACATTCTCTAGAAATTCCTTTCGAAAAGCGCTTGGAATATACTCGGACTATCCTTATAGAGCTTCGCAATTATTTTGGAATTGTACCCTCAAAATTCACGTTCCTTGGTATTTTTAAATATTCCTAGAATCCTCTTCGCTCTTGGTAGATTTAGTAAAAACTCTCCTAGAGATTTTCTTAAAGTTACCTAGACAATATTCTAAATACCTTGGTGTTATCTCTAGAATTGATTCTAAAAACAGCTCAAATTTGGTTTGGAATTTTTTTTTCTAAAATTCACTTAATTGTTCTTCAAAGTGACTGTAGTTATCCTGAAAATCTAGACCAGTTCAAGGGTCTTGAAATCTTATTGTTTTCGAAGGGAGGACGAGGTATAATTTTTCCAGATTTGTCAACTAAATTCATGGGAAATTCCAGCTTTTTCCGGGTTTCTCGGTTAACTGGTCACTCTGCATTTCACATATGAAACACTTGTTATTAATTCCATTATATTTGTTTTACCTTGAGCATATTTTGAGACCCAGCTCCGTAAGAAAGTTATTCCGGATAATATGCTTAACTAAAAGCTAATTCGAAATTATGTGATGATATGATATATGATATGATAGTGGTTTACCACCCATTGTAGCACGGAAACTAAGTCCGACAGCAGTGGGCTCTCTTCTCTGTTTTTCTTGATCAAGCTTAATAACCTTTGATTGTTATCAACATGTCGCTGTATGAAGGGCCAAAAACGGATTGGGTAGATCGATAGGCAAAGTCGCCTATACGCATCTACGGGACAGTAAAGAATCTCCTTCCAGCAACTTGATCAGCCACAGGAAGATGCCTCAATGAGTGGGAAGAAGAGCCCGCCCTTTATCCACGAAATGTTATCAACAGGGAGTTGGCATTCCCACTCTCCCCATCCAAATCGCTTCAATCGGGTGCCCTGTTGGACCGTCCCTTTCCTTTTATTAATGTTTTTCAATGTATCTACGAGTTGATTGTTATGATTATTGTCAATAATACTTACATTTCGTGATACTTATCATTACAGAAACCAATCTTGAATCATAGCCCAGTTCCATCAACAATACACTCGTTCCGAGACGGGGCTCTGTGATAAAGCCATCTTCTTCTTCTGGGCTCAAAATCATCGAAATACCCTTTTATTTGAGAATCTTTTGCTTCACTTCCAAAACTGAAACATCAAGAGTTGAGCCTATCAGAACTATTCTTAAGTTCTCCTCAGAACTACTATGAAGATCTCTTCAGAACTACTCTGAAGTTCTCCTCAGAAATTCTCTGAAGTCCTCCTTAAAATTACTCTGAAGTTCTCCTCAGAACTAATTTGAAGTTCTCATCAGAATCATTTTGAACTTCTCCTCAGAACTACTCCGAAATTCTCCTTAGAACTACTCTGAAGTTCTCCTTAGAACTACTCTGAAGTTTTCCTCAGAACTATTCTAAAGTTCTTCTCAGAACTACTCTGAAGATCTCTTCAGAACTACTCTGAAGTTCTCCTCAGAAATTCTCTGAAGTCCTCCTTAAAATTACTCTGAAGTTCTCCTCAGAACTAATTTGAAGTTCTCATCAGAATTATTTTGAACTTCTCCTCAGAACTACTCCGAAATTCTCCTTAGAACTACTCTGAAGCTCTCCTTAGAACTACTCTGAAGTTCTCCTCGGAAATTCTCTGAAGTCCTCGTTAAAATTACTCTGAAGTTCTCCTTAAAATTACTCTGAAGTTCTTCTCAGAACTACTCTGAAGTTCTCCTTAGAACAACTCTAAAATTCTCCTCAGAATTACTCTGAAATTCTCTTCAGCATTACTCTGAAGTTCTGTTCAGAACTACTCTGAAATTCTCCTCAGAACTACTCTGAACTTCTCCTCAGAACTACTCTGAAGTTCTCCTCAGAACTATTCTAAAGTTCTCCTCAGAACTACTCTGAAATTCTCCTCAGAACTACTCTGAACTTCTCCTCAGAAATTCTCTGAAGTCCTCCTTAGAATTACTCTGAAGTTCTCCTCAGAACTAATTTGAAGTTCTCATCAGAATTACTTTGAACTTCTCCTCAGAACTACTCCGAAATTTTCCTCAGAGCTACTCTGAAGATCTACTTAGAACTAAAGGGTGATACGGTCAAAATTTGGTCAATATCAACTTGATGTATTTCTTTCAATTTTGCATTTAAAAAACCTGAACACCCCTCATTTTGAAGGTGTGTGTGTGTAGAATGTTGCTCCTATTTTGATTTTGGAATTCACTCTTCAGTTGTCAAAATGCCGTCCAAGCAAGAAGAGCAGCGTATCAAAATTTTGCTCGCGCATCGCGAAAATCCGAGCTACTCGCACGCAAAGTTGGCAAAATCGCAAAAAGTTGCCAAATCATCCGTTACAAATGTAATTAAAGTGTTTGGGGAACGTTTGTCGACAGCCAGGAAGTCTGGATCGGGGGGAAATCGAAAACCGGAAGCCGCTGAGACGACAAAGAGAGTTGCCGGTAGTTTCAAGCGAAACCCTAACCTCTCTCTCCGAGATGCCGCAAATAAGCTGGGTGTATCGTCTACAACCGTGCATCGAGCCAAAAAACGAGCCGGACTATCGACTTAAAAGAAGGTAGTGACTCCAAATCGCGATGATAAACAAAAAAAGATGGCCAAAGCGCGATCCCGGAGGCTGTACACGACGATGCTGACGAAGTTTGACTGCGTGGTAATGGACGACGAAACCTACGTCAAAGCCGACTACAAGCAGCTTCTGGGACAGGAGTTTTATACGGCAAAAGGAAGGGGAAAGGTAGCAGATGTTTTCAAGCACATGAAACTGTCCAAGTTTGCAAAGAAATATCTGGTTTGGCAAGCCATCTGTACCTGTGGCTTGAAAAGCAGCATTTTCATAGCTTCCGGGACTGTCAACCAAGAAATTTACGTGAAAGAATGTTTGAATAAACGTCTGCTGCCTTTCCTGAAGAAACACGGTTGTTCCGTACTGTTTTGGCCGGATTTGGCATCTTGCCATTACGGTAAAAAGGCCATGGAGTGGTACGCCGCCAACAACGTGCAGGTGGTTCCCAAGGACAAGAACCCTCCCAACACGCCAGAGCTCCGCCCAATTGAGAAATACTGGGCTATTGTCAAGCGGAACCTAAAGAAGACCAAAAAAAACTGCTAAGGGCGAGCAGCAGTTCAAGGCCAACTGGCTTTCTGCGGCGAAGAAGGTGGACAAGGTGGCTGTACAAAATCTGATGGCAGGGGTCAAGCGTAAGGCAAGGCAATTCGGATTTGGAAAAGCGGAAGCCTAACTGAATATTTTTCCTGAATTTTATACTAATTGAACTTGAAAAAGAAATTTAATTTGATTTTTTAAATAAACGATTTCACCGATTTACACGCGTTTTCCCTTGACCAAATTTTGACCGTATCACCCTTTACTCTGAAGATCTCCTCAGAAATATTCTAAAGTTCTCCTCAGAACTACTCTGAAGATCTCTTCAGAACTTCTCTGAAGTTCTCCTCAGAAATTCTTTGAAGTCTCCGACCAATGGATTCAGCAGAGTTTTTCTTTTGAGAATATGTATAACATGTTGACTGAAACCGTTTGGCAGCCGAGATATTCAATTTAGTCTCTGGTGCATAATTTGCATCGTTCTGATGAATGCAAGCTTAACTAAAAATTTATGGTGGAACATTCATGAAAAGGCAAAGCCTGAAAATTGCACCACTTCACTGACAATTTTTGGTGCATCGTTCTGGTGAATGGAGGACCATGCTTGTTGAAAACTTCTGGTGCAAAATTGGCATCGCTCTGATACATGGAATGAACGAAAAATTTCTGGTGGAAAACTTGCACTGGTCTGGTAAATGAAGGCACAAGCTTTATTTAAAATTAAGCTATATTGAAAAA